GGTACGAGTCCTTATGAGTTCGAGGAACCCCCGGGCAAAAGGGAATTTCGAACAGAGCTCCTTGAACATTTCGGCCAGGAAGTAGAATAGGTCGCGAGTTTTCAACTTGGCGCGCTATGAAAACAACTTATTTTGTTTCATTCATTTTTAATCGCGCCTCGATTTATAAACCCGTTATCCCCGCTAATCTCCGCCGTGTTTATTTCCGCCAATTTAGATTATCGTTTTTGCAACACCATCGATATATACCTGTTGCGCGAATTCACGAGGATTCCCATAGCGATTTCTATTCACCCGCCGAAAGAATTAAATCCGGCCGTTGTTAACGGCGCGGGCAGGGCAGGGCACAGGGGATGTTATTCCGAAATCCTTATATTCCGCGGTAACACGCGAGAACAACAATAATACAGTCGCGTGTTGAGGGTGTTCCGTCGCCATTCGATTGTATTATGCATCGCTCCTGCGCTCTAACGTTACACGCTTCACCCTTGCGCGCCCTTACGTGTGTACATGTCCACGTGAAAGGAAAGAAAACCGCTTACGCACGCATCCCCTCCTTTCTCTCTCTCTCTCTCTTTCTCTCTCTCTCTCTCTCTCTCTCTCTACTACTGTATTATTGTTCTGCATATATGTCAACGGCATGGACATGATATTTCTGTAGAATACCTGTCAGTACCTTCAAATTTGTACTCAATTCTACTACTCAATACTTAATTATATTCAACACAATACTATACTAAATTGAATATTTGTATTCAATACTTTTCATGCAACGTTTGAGCGCATTTATCTCAGAACGCGTAATAAATGAAGTTTCTTTTTCGCTCTCGTATCTCGAACGCACTCGTCCACGGAAAACCTGACTCGCATGACACCAGGTGTTGTGCAGTAGCCTATTTCGTACATGGAGAAAAGCGAGAAAGGCCGAAAATACTTTTAACGTCGAACACGACGTCGCGCGTCAATGGCGAGCGCCGCGACAGCGAGGGTGGCACTTAACCTTAATTATAAGCCCTTCTCGACTACCGACTTCACTTGGTGCAAATGTATAAGCGCGTGGTAGTGGTGGTGGTGACGGTGGCTGCTTTTAATCGAGGCTTTCTCTGTGTGTTCCCAGTCTAGTCGTTAATCTTTTTATCAACGCCTCTCTACCTCTCTCTCTCTTC